AAAATTTAAAAAATAAAAATAGGCTACAGATGTAGCTCAGTGCTACCACCCAGTACCAGAAAGAAAGAAGGAAGAAAAGAAAGAAAGAGAGAGAGAGAGAAAGAAGCCAGGCTTTTGTTTCTGTTACACATCCCTAATTTACAGAGAGGAGTTGCTATCTTAAACAGTCATAAGGGGGCAAGCTATTCTCTTTTCCTCCTCCTTTTGTGGGCTTCATCCTTCAAGTTGATATCTGCAGTATTTTTTCTACTGTGTTGCTCTTGTTCACTGAATGAAGGCAGAAGTATCTAAATATGTGCACCAGGGAGGGGAGGCTGGTAGGCTGGGGACACAGCTGAGCAGCTGAGCACTTGCTTAGCAGGTGCCGGGCCCACGCTTCCATCCCAATACTGCAAAACTACAAAATAAACAGAACAAAACCAAGAAAGGTCATTGTTTTACAAATGTGGAGTTGGACTGAATACAGTTTTTTATTCAAGGTGCTTTATACAAACTGCTCAGCTCACCTACTAAAGCTATAATTCCCTTTTTCCCTCCAGTGTTGGGAATAGAACCCAGGGCCTCATGCATGCTATGCAAGCCCTCTACCACTGAGCTACACACCCAGCCTTTGATTCTGTTTTAAAATTTGTTTAATAGGGGCTGGGGATTTAGCTCAGTGGTTCTCGCACCTGCCTCGAAAGTGCAAGGTCCTGAGTTTGATCCCAGGTACCAAAAAAAAAAAAATTACATAAAATTTGTTTAATATTCTTCTATTCTGTGGATGAACCTTTATTTATTTATTTGTTTGTTTGTTTGTTTGTTTATTTATTTTTGAGACAGGATCTTTTTATGTAGTCCAGGCTGGCCTTAAACTCACTAAGTAGCCCAGGCTGGCCTCAAATTCAGAGAGATTCTTCTGCCTCAGCCTCCCGATTGCTGGGATCACAGGTGTGCACCACCGTGCCTGGGCCTCAGGACTACATTTCTTCTCTACCTCCCCACACAACCTGCCAGAACTATAATCACCTACACTTTACTTAGGAGCAAACTTTGAAGCTCAGAGAGGCTGAGTAATTTGCCCAAAGTTGCTCAGCTCCTAAAGAACAAAGCTGGGATTTTAACTCTGTCCCAGGACTCCACAGTCCTTGCCTGTGAGCACCCTGCAAATCTGCTCTTTGGGGGCCATTCTGGAGCTCTGAGGAGTGTGGTTGGGGGAGTCTATTTATTTATTTTTGTTTGTTTGTTAGGTTGGTTGGTCGGTGTTTTGATTTTTTGAGACAGGGTTTCGCTATGTAGCTCAGGCTGGCCTTGAACTCATGGTGAGCCTCCTGCCACAGCCTCCCAAGTGCTGGGATTATTCACACAAGAGCACCATATGTCCTAGCAGGGCTCCTCCATGCCCTAAGATGGGTCCATAGATACACTGTACCCGTCTCATTAACACTGTAGCACCATATTTTGCATATCAGGCTACATCAAGATAACCAAGCATTACATGTCTGAACGCTGTCTTGTACAGTCGGTCATTTCCGGGTCTCTAATAATCTGGTGGCTAGATGGGCGTCACAAAGGATGGTCCGGGTGGAAGAAGGGTTGGAGCTCACCCCATTGGCCGCCTCTCCCAATGCAGCCCGTGCTTGGCCCAGCTCTGCCCTCTGCCCTGGTCACCTCACACCGAAGCTTGGGCTCTGAGGCGGCTTCTCTCCCCTGTCCTCTGGCCCCAGCTGGCCTGACCTTGACATCTGTCCTTCTGCCACAGGGAGACAGCCCAGCGCCTGTTCCCATCCTCGCCACACAGAGCCCCTTCTGATGGCCTGGTGGGTTAGCACTGGCAAACAGCATTGTATGCCTGGCATACCCAGGCGGGGCTGGCACAGAGCCGGGGCCGAGAGCCCCCGAGGGTTCTGGGTGCTGTCCCCTCTGCTCTGCACTCCAGCAGGCTGCCTTTGCTGGGGACACACGGGGCCTGGGACCCCAGTGCCCTATCTAGTGCCTGGCAAGCAACTCCCCCTGCCAAGCTGTGCTCTCACCAAACCAGCCCATCTTTTGAGGGCTTCCTAGGGATCCTTCACCTTGCAGGTCTGCTCTGTGTGTGTGTGTGTGTGTGTGTGTGTGTGTGTGTGT